TATGCAGAAATCTGTTGCATTCCTATATACTAACAAGAAAGTGGCAGAAAGAAAAAGAAGACAACTCCATTTACAGTTGCACAAAAAAGATTAAATACCCAGGAATAAACTTAACCAAGAAGTTGAAAGACCTATACTCTGAAAACTACTTTCATCAATGAAAGATCTCAAACAATCTAACAGTACTACTTTGATGAAAGAAATTGAAGATGACACAAACTGAAAAATATACCATGCTCATAGCTTGGAAGAATTAATGTCCATATTACCCAAAGCAGTCTGTAGATTCAGTGCTATTCCTATCAAAATACCAATAGTATTTTTCACAGAACTACAACAAATAAACTGAACGTTTGTATGGAACCACAAAAGACACTGAATAACCAAAGTAATCTTGCGAAAGAACAAAGCCCAGTCCCAGATTTCAAGATATACTACAAAGCTATAATAATCAAAACACTATGGTACTGGCTCAAAAATAGACACACAGATAATTGGAACAGAGCAGAGATCCCAGAAATAAACCCATACTTATATGGTCAACTAATCTATGACAAAGGCAAGAATCTACAATGGGGAAAAGACAGTCTCTTCACTAAATAGTGCTGGAAAAACTGGACAACTACATGCATAAGAATGAAACTGTACCACCGTCTTACACCATACACAAAAAAAAGACCCAAAATGGATCAAAAACAAATATGAGACCTACAACCATAAAACTCCCAGAAGAAAACATAGGTAGTAATTCCTTTGACATTGATCTCAGCAACATTTTTCTAGATATGTCTCCTCAGGCAAGGGAAACAAAAGCAAAAATAGACAATTGGGATTATACCAAAGTAAAAAGCTTTCAGAGTGAAGGAAACCATTAACAAAATGAAAAGGTAATCTACTAAATGGAAGAAGATATTTGCAAATAATATCTGATAAAAAGCTAATATCCACAATATATAAAGAACTTACACAAGTCAACACCAAAAATGCAAATTATCCAATTAAAATGGGTAGAGGACCTGAATAGACATTTTTCCTAAGAAGGACATACAGATGGCCAACAGACATGAGGAGATGCTCAGTATCCCTAATCATCAGGGAAGTGTGAATCCAAATCACGGTGAGATGCCACCTTAGACCTTGTCTGAATGGCTAAAATTAAGACAACACCAAGTGTTAGTGAGGATGTGGAGAAAAAGGAAACCTCGTGCACTGTTTGTGGGAATATAGATTGGTGCAGCCACTGTGGAAAACAGTATGAAGGTTCCTCAAAAATTTCAAAATAGAATTATTTTACAATCCAGTAATTCCATTACTGGTTGTTTGCCTAAAGAAAACAAAAACACTAATTTGAAAAGATACATGCACCCGTATGTTTTTTGCAGCATTATGTACAATAGCCAAGATATGGAAATACCCTAAGAGTCCATCAGTAGATAAATGGATAAAGAAGTGATATATGTACACAATGGAATATTATTCAGTCATAGAAAAGAATGAGATCTTGCCATTTGTGACAACATGTGTAGACCTAGAGGGTATAATGCTAAGTGAAATATGTCACACAGAGAAAGACAAATATCATACAACTTCACTTATATGTGGAATCTAAAAAATAAAACAAATGAATAAAGTCCATGAGGCTGTCATGTACAGCATGGGAAATATAGTCAATATTATTGTAATAACTTTGTGTGATGACAGATGATAACTAGATATCACATCATTTCATAATGTATAAAAATATTAAATCACTATGATGTAAACCTGAAACTGATAGGATATTAGTTTTTCAACTAATTATTTTTCAACATTATAAGTCAACAGCAGGCACTTTTGAATCATGAAAGCATTGGTGGCATTTTTTGTCACCTGATCTCTGACCTTCTGTCCTTGTCCTCAGTACCTGTGGATGGAACCACAGCCCTGAGGGGAGCCTTCTCAAGCCTGGCAGCTGGGACTCAAACCCTTCCTCCCAGAGCCTGTGCCCTCCTTCTCCCTGGGGAACTCCTGTTCTGCTGGTCTCCAATTCTGTCACCTTGGGAATGGAGAAGCAGACCCTTGCTGGAGTTTGCCTTGCTTTACAGGCCAGAGAGATGATGGTGGGCCTGGCCTTGCTCATGGGGTGTGAAAGGAAGAAAGTGGCCCAGAGAATGCTCCTCAGAGACACCCAGTTATTCCAGTCACATATTCACCCATTCTGGGGAAACAGTCACATTCAGAATGGACCACCTTTAAGTCTCTCCCACAGAGAAGCTGCCGTGAATAAGGAGCTAGAGTACTCCACAAATTCAGGTTGTGCCGTGCATTCTCACAAAATAGTCCAGCTGCAGACCTGTGCGTGAGGCTGAGGGAAGTTTGAAAACCCGGTGAATCTTCATAAAGTATCGTAAGTCAGCTCAGCTGCAAAAAAAAAAAAAAAAAAAAAATCATTGAAGGAAAAGCACCAATGTTCCTCTTTACACATTGGCCTCTTAGCAGGTGCTAGCTGTCTGGGCACCTTGGAGCCCATCATGGCCGAGAGAGCCTCCTAGACACTGTCCTTGCAGGTGTTTTGAAACTATTTTTAGTAACATACCACACTTCTTAACTGGAAGGCTTCCTGCAGTGGCCCCATGACAGGTTGAAGACAGCCTGGCTAATGCAGCTACAAACAGAACAGAGGGCAGGAGTCCTCCACATGGTGCCAGCTTCTCATGGGTTTCTCCTCGTCCCCCCATCTCATCAGTTCCTCTCTCTGGAAGCACCCTGGCAGGAGCGCTGGGCCAGGCTGCTTGGCCGGGAGCAGGCAGTGGCCAGATGGTAGAAGTGTTGGCTTTGGAAGGACGGCCTTTCTCTTCCAGCTGCCCTGAGCACCCCAGCCCTGACCCAGCTTTGATGTGAACTCAGGCCCGAGCAGAGCAGTTCCTGGGCCTGTGCCCTATCTTATCCCTCTTCTCCCAGCACCAGCTTTGGGGAGCACTCTATGCTGTGGACAGAGGGGGCTGCGTGTCTGAACCCTGTCTCTTGAGGCCTCCCTATGTTCCTGTGCCCCAGCCTTTGCCGTAGGACACTCCCTACGAACCACTTCCTTTGGCTCCTGCACAGGGCCCAGCGATCAGCTTCTGCCTGTCCTGGGCTTCTGAGAATTTCCACTGAACTCATTCTTCAGAAGCCCTGTCTCTTCTAGTGCAGTCTTCTCCTCCTCTGGCTCCTACGTTTCTTGCCCCACTCACTTGTTTGCCATCTTCACGTGCTCCCTTCCTCTGCACCTCTTTGACCCGGATGAGGCACAAGCAGCTCAGGCGGTGTTCGGTTTCCTCCTGCCCCTGAGGCTTGCTCTCTCTGCCTTCTGTCCTGCTCTGAGCTCATGTTTCTCCCTCCTTCTCCTTCTGTCTTTGTTGCTGGACCACAGCAGTCACAGGTAAAAAGTTAGCTAGCATCTGAAACGCAGAGTTAAGTTCTGTTGTTGTTGAACTCAAATGAACTTAAATTCAGCCAACAATGCAGATTGCCTACTTCAGCTGCAGGGAGGTGGACACGTGTGACTAGAGACCGTGAGTGGAACAGTGTGGAGGTTGAGCTGTCTCATAAAGATGACACGAGGTCCAAGTGGCCAGCCTCCACAGTCAGCTGTCATGGCTGTGCCACTGCGGTGCTTCCAGCCCAATGGAGGCCCTGGGATCAATGGCAGTCTCTCTGCACTTGGGGTCTAGGAAGTACATTAACTCTTTTAAGGTGTCTCAGGTAGGTTTATGCAGTTTCATCCACAGAGACAGACTGTGTCTGTCAGAGGTTACCCACAGCATCTGTGATTCTGAGTAAAAACCATGCAGTGGTAATATGGACACCAAGAGCCACAGTGAACCCCACCTAGGCTGGTGGCCTGACCCCCCCCCCCCGCCGAGCCCCTCCCAGCTGAGGTTGAAGACAGCTAATGCCATCAAGGTATGCCCCACGGTATCCTGTGCTGCCTGAGCATGTGCCTTGACTGCCGGTCAGAGGTGGTGGCCCTGGATTGAAGGGTATCCAGGGCCACGCGATAGTCCGAGGGCGGTCGGTCACCCTACCAGAAGGCCCTCTGTGGCGATGGAGAGGAAGCTGACCTTTGGCTGCTGTGGCTAATCAAATATTTGAGTGGTCTATAGAAACTGCCACACACAAAATGAATATGTCGATTACTGTCAAAATCAGGGCTTCTTAATGTGCTTGTGTCTAAAAAAAATCACAGCAAACTCAACACAATTCAGTTGTGAGATTCCCACCCTTCCCTTTTTGCTGAGCTGAAATTCTTAGGAAAATACACCCAAGAATGCCTTGAGGCTGTATTTAACAGAACTAACAATTCCTGTGTTTCCTGCTTCCCTTGAGAATCAGGTGTTAAAACCTTAGATGTCTATTAAAAAGCAAGTGGGCCCAGGTTGCTAGCCCAAGAATGCCATTTATAAAGCTGTTTGTGTGAAAACAGGTGGCATTTTCCTTTCAGCACTTTCCAGTTCTCATATTCGTGTGAGCCTTTTGCAGACAGGCTGCAGCACGGCTTGCCTCTGCTTCCCCACAGCAAATACTCGCACAGCCTGTGACTGGCATTCCAGGAAATGTGGGGCTTTTTTGTAGCCTTTGTGAGTCTGGGGCCATTCTGTCAGAAGAGGGTGATCATTAGGAAATGACTCTGCTCCCTGGATGGCCAACCTCTGAGAACAGACTGTCTTTGCTCATCACCTTGAAAACAAAACGAGAGTCATTGAAAGCTGACAGGAATGCAGCTGCTTTTCGGGGAAGGACGGGTCCGGTTGGTCCACTGGACAAAGAGATGAATCTGTCTAGTTAGTGTTTTAGTTTTCTTTCTCCTCTGTACTCATTGCAGATGGCTCCAACCGATGAGCTAAGCCACGAGATTGCTGGCTTTCTTGACCAGACCTTGTACAGATGGGATCGCCTCTGCCTGGAAGCACCTAGGTCAAGAAAACTGGCCCGAGAGCTCCTGGCTGAGCTGCACGGTCACATCCAGCATCGGCCGGCTGCACATGGAGCTGCCGTGCTTGCAGCAGGCTCCCCGAGATCTCATGACGAAACAATGAGACTGATTCGTCGTGGAACGAGTAGTGAGGATGAGCCATAGACATCTTGGTGAGAGCTGCTAGAACACATTTTATGAAGTCAGAAGACAAATTCCTTAGCCCAAACTCAGTCTGGCTTATTAGTTCATGACTAGATTGTGCCTTGAGCATTCCCTACCTGCTCAGCCCAGCTGCCAGAGAATCACTGAAGACAAGCCTTGAATAGGAGAACACTTTCATTTCGCTTTTTCCTTATATCAAATGAAGATACACAACTATTACTTGAGTGGTTCAAAGTCTTTGGACTGAGAAATTGGTCATGAGCCACTGATCAGTTTAGAAGTAACTTAGTCCTTTTCCACAGATCTCTTTTTTCAGAAATCAGACTACTGTTATTGGTGTTTCTTTTAATCCACAGGGCTTTGAGATAAAGCCACACTCTTGCTTCCCTAAGAAATTCTTCACTAAGGAGTCTCTCGGGCACCTCCGAGGGGAAGCAGAGGCCATCAGGCCCAGTAGCAAGTGGTAGTGACTGGGGCCACTGCTGTGGTGGGCAGTCAAGCCAGCTCGGCTGTGGAGAACAGCACTGCCTAGCAATGAAATAAAGCCGGTTCCAATGCTAACTCTTTTTGCTTTCTGTTTGCTAAACACTCCCACCAAGGGAGCTCACATTGCCTCAGAGAGGACTGATGTGAGAATATAGGATATGTTCTGGAAGAAGACATTATATTTCAGTTGTCTAATTAACTGAGGTGGGAATTAGAAATTCCTAATAAAGAATAGGTAACCCCAGGGGCGCCTGGGTGGCTCATTTGGTTGAGCATCTGACTTCAGCTTGGGTCATGATCTCACGGTTTGTGGGTTCGAGCCCCACGTTGGGCTCTGTGCTGACAGCTTGGAGCCTGGAGCCTGCTTCTGATTCTGTGACTCCCTCTCTCTCTGCCCCTCCCCTGCACATGCTCTTTCTCTGTCTCTCAACAATACATAAATATTTTAAAAAATTTAAAAAAAAATAAGTAACCCTAATATTTATTTCACATCAATTGAAAATTTTTTCCCCTTCCAAGTTTGTTTTTTTTTCTTACATGAGCTAAAATCCTCCCAGGACCTCACTTTTTTTTTTTTTTTTTTTTTTTAAGTTTAATCTTCGAGTGAGCAAGCAGGAGAGGGGCAGAGGGAGAGGGAGAGAATCCCAAGCAGGCACTATCGGTGCAGAGTCCGATGTGGAGCTCAAACTCAACAAACCATGAGATCATGACCTGAGCTGAGATCAAGACACCCAGGTGCTCCTCAAGTTTATTCTTCATATGCATTGATTGTGTACTCTTTTGTGTGTACACACTCTTTTGTGTGGGTCGAATCAGTCAGGACTTTTATGGCTACTTTGTTAGTGTTAGTAATCTCTGAGTCTCCTGCAATTTGAGCTCCTATTTGAGGTGTGAGTAGCGTTTTGTTGTATTAGAGGTCGTGGTTTTAGGGGAGTTTCCGTTTCGGTATATGGATCTACCTAAAGATCTGAAAAATTCAAGAACTTTTAACTTTTGAGAAATACTGCAGTTTGAACAGTGCACTGATAAAATACTTTAGTCATGACTACCAGCATTCTTACTTTCATAGAAAAAGTCTTCCTCAAAATGTGTAGTAGTTTTGATAAAGGAGTTTTAGGCTTCATTTAGAGTCAAGGATATCTCTCCTATGTTGTTTGCCATGGAAGCTGTGACCAGCCTCTGTGGGCATGAAGAAGGGAATCTGCTTAGTGGCTGTGAATAGTCCCTAAAGCTTGATTCCCACCAGGAATCAAATTCCCTTGTGGGTGTGCTCCACTAGAAATCCAGTCATGCTGTATTCCACAGCAAACAATATAAACAAGACTGTTACCCACCTCAGACTGTTGAAGCTGCATTTCTGGAAGGTTCCTTCCTGTCCTGACCTTACCTCAGCCTGTTTGTAGTATCTTCAGTTCCTTTACAAAGCCTCTAAGTTCTCTCAAGCCTTGGACATGTGAGTCAGCACCTGACCAGACTATCTGATCTGGCAGCCAAGCGGTTCTTGGGTCTCAAGTGAACCTTCATTGTCTGTGAAGGCTTTCATGAAGGGACTAGGAGGCACTGGTTTGTGGACTGATTTTGTTTTCTCTCCTTGCCCTTTCCCACTAACGAGGGAGAATGCTCCACGGGGGAAACCAAGGAAAATAGGACTGCTCCGCAAACTGGAGGGGCAGCTGCAAAGCCTCACAGGCAGTCAGGCCCTGGTCATCACTTTAGAAGGGGTTACCCCATCATTCCATTCACTTCTCTGAGGGGGAGGGAACCTCCCAAAGGGCAGATGGAGGGAGGCACAGGGCAGAAAGGTGGGAAGCGACACCCTCCACTTGACAACCCCAGAAGACAGACACCTTGTGCTCCCTCCACTCCCGAGCAAGCCCATACCCAGCTACCAGTAAGGAAACCCAGTCAGGGCAGAGAAAGCCAGGGGCAGGCTGGAAACTCCACCTCCTCATTCAGTTGCCTTGGATTTGGGGGGGAAAGTCTGGAGACATGGGTGTTTTTCAGTTTCTTGAAAGAAGATCTCGCTAGAAAAGGGCTCTGGTGAGAATACACATCAAGGCAGGTGGCATGAGCGAAGCGAAGGCCCTGTAGGCCACTGAGCCTTGTCCCCCCTCCCCCCGTTGGAGAGCCAGGAGCACGGAGGCCTACAGTGTGCATTAAGCAGCAGGGCTGAGGCCCAGAGGCTGTATGTGGGGTTGACCGGACTGGGTTTCTTTCCAGCACAGGGTCTGTGCCAGGCACGTGCCTTTGGCTTCCGCCAGCAGAATATCCAGTGAAGAGTGGCTTAAACAGGCAAGACACCTGATGGTGTCAGACACACAAAACCCAGAGAGGTGGCTAATTCAGCCACTCAACAATGTCAGGACTGCAGATCAGCTTCACTGGAGTTCTGGCTTTTCTCTCCAAGTTCAAGAAAGCTGCCAAGCCCAGGCCTGACAGCCTCCAAGAAGGTTCTCGTGTCTCTGCTCGCAAGCCCACACCAGACCCTCATGTCATTGGCAGACCCAGCCACTGCAGAATGGGGCTTGCTGCCACCCTGTTGATAAGATTTATTGGGACACTAATGAGGCTTGAGCTTCAGGGACTTGCACCACCTGGCCCCTCCCCAGGCCCCGGGAGAGGCCCCGGCATTGTGCTCCCAAGGTCGTCTGTTTTGTAAATCTGTAAAGAAACGTTAACTGCAACTGGCAAAAATGCCTCCGTGTGCTCCTACTGTCCCCCCTGCCCCTGGGCAGTGTGCACCTTCTGCGATCCAGCTGAGAGAAGCCAAGTTGGTTCGGCACCACTTGGAGGCACAGTGAAGTTACTGTGGAGGACCAGCTTCCAAGAATGCCGGCACCAGCCCGACCAGTTCAGCTGGTGCTGGCCCAGGAGCCGTGGCACAGCAGAAGGGTGGCCTGTGCCACCACAGGCCCGCAGGTGCACAGGAGCAACAATGAGGAAGTGTGAAGAGTCCTTCCAAGACCTCTGGCTTGGGTCTGGGGCGAACTTGATAGAGGTTTTCGGAGACCTGACAACAGCTCTGCAATTCTGTGTTCCCCACAGCAAGCCGGGAAGCTGAGTAGAGCTTTCTAAAGTCTTAGTAATGAAGTTTTAGGTAAGCATGCTGGAGAGACTGTGGGAATGTATAAAATCACTGTGCCAACAAGAGGTGATCAGAGAGGACAGAGCTGCCAAAAACTGGAGAGGAAAGGCATGACTGGCCACGTATTAATGCAAAGGCTGTCACCCACTGGTACTTCATGGCATGTGGCATGTTAGCTCTTTTAAATCTGGAATTTATTTTTTCATTATAAATAAGTCACAATACATGTGAGTTTGTATTCACTAAACAGTACAGTCTTTCTCAGAAAAAAGCTTCCCTTCTCTCCTCAATTATGGGAGCTCAGGCCACACAAAACCTGTATAGACCTGCCCCTAGAAAAGACCAATTTGGCGTAGCCTTTGGGCCTGAGAATCTTGCCGTCAGATACCTACAAACTGGGGTCCCACAGCCAGGGAAGAAGGGAGGGGGCTGCAGGGAGGCGGTTGGCAGGGGCTGCTGGAACAAAACGACGTGCATCGTACAGGTCTTTCTCTTCCGTAAGCCAGCCTCCCATACTACCACCCAGTGTAAATGGAACTGGCCTGTATACATTGTTCTTCCCCGATTCTAAAGATGGAGCTCGTCCGACAAAGCACAGCCCACACCCGCTGTGCGCACCACTGTTTCCCAGACTTGTGACCCTCATGCTGCAGCCTCCACAGGGTCCCCTAGGAGTCATGGGATGGAATCCCCCCGCCCCCTCCCCCCATTCAGTGGCATCTGCCGGACCCAGCCCACCCTGGTTCTGCAGTCAGACAGCTGGCATGGGTTTCCTGGATGGTCGCTCTGCTTCCTGATGTGCCACCCCACACCTCTCCGTTGGCCAGAGGCACCTGAGCAAGCAGGGGGCAGGTGGCCAAGATGTGTCTCGGAAGAAGCCCCTTGCTGAACTGTCCTGGGCTGTTCATGTCATTGTGCATTTTTAGCACTTCTTGGCCCCGTTGCTCACTGGTGGGACAAGGATGCTGGGACAAAAATGGAAACATGTCTAGAGGGCAGGAGGAAACCATACCTTCTGTCACGGTGGAGAAGTCACGAGCAGAGGCTTGAAAGGGGGAACCACCGCGGTGGCCAGAGATGTGAAGGAGATCAGAACGGAGCCTGTCCTGTTACCCAGAGGGGCAGGGGGCGAATGTGAGGAACGCTGGTCCTTGTTTGACAAGGAATGCGAATTGATTTTGCTTCCAGGGAAGCAGAGACATGAATTTTCTGTGCTTCTCTCCCTTCTTTTACTCTCTTCCCTCCTGTCCCCCTCCCTCCCGCCCCGCCCCGTCAGCGTGCTGGCAATAGCCTTTTCCTTGCCTGACACTGGTTTTCACATGGATTCCACAGACTGTCAAAACACTTGTCACTTATTACTCCACACCAAGCCACTTTACTCCTAAAGAACCAAAAGCAAGGCAAAATAAGTATGTGTGTGGTAAGGCCTTCTTCTTAAATCCAGTTCCACAATTTTATACCGTGAGTCCAAATCCTATCCCTCATACACAGACTGGTAATGAAGTCTACAATGTCAGCCTTTCCTTTTCCCCAGTCGCAACATAATCATGATGATAACTTCCTGTATTTGGGGTTTTGGGTAGGGCACTCGGATTCTTTTATGCGGAAAGTTTCACATTTAACTTTTCTGTAGAAAAGCAGAGTTAAATCAGTGTTGAACATCTCACTGGCCTCTGGTGTTTCCCTCACTATGATGAATCCACGGATATCAGCCGGGATTCTTGGTGGCAAGCCACAGGATTGGACACAATGTTAAAAGTAAAAGGGAATTGATCAAAAGTATCTAAAAGCCTACAGAATTGTCAGGCAGACAGGACTTGGTGCCAGGCAGCTAACAACAGTGCCCAGACCTGGCTTCAGAATGACCTGTGAGGAACCTCCTGCTGTCGCCACCAAATCCTGCCACATAGAACCTTTGTGGCTTGTGTGAGGCCCACCACCCCCACAGGGACACAGTCCCTGTCCCCACTCTGGGGCACCAGTGCATCTGACAACCTGTACGTTGGCTGGAAGGGCGCCTGGAAAAGCACGTGTCTGGCTTATTTTGCTTCCATGACATTACTGGACACCTTGGATACCAGTGGTCTCCTACTTACAGGAAGGGGTCAGGGCCTAGGCAGCTAGAGAGAATAAAAACTCCACAATATGTATCACCTACTCTTTAACATTTGAGAAGGTTGAGTACCATGAAACAGCCCGACTACTAATCCAGAAGAGGTAGAGAAGGGCCCTTGGCAGAGAGCCAGTGCGCAGACACCTGAGGCCGAGTTTCTCCAGTGTGGCGCGATTGACAGTGTAGAGCAGGTGCATCCATGTGGGGGTGTCATGTGTGCTGGAGGGTGTTAGCAGCATCCCTGGCCTCTCCCCACTACGTGCCAGCCCAGCGGCGACAAGACTCTCTCCAGAATGTCTGGGGGGAACCCCCCTCACCCTCCGGTGGAGAACCATTGCTCTAGCTGGGGGTTTGTTGTTTCCGGAAAGACATCCTGGAGAGAAACACAAACAGTTTCAGACATGTAAATTAGACTTAATAGGATCCTAATAGAACTAGATAATCTGAATCCAAAATTCTTAGGGAAAAAATAAGCAATCAGGAACAGGCAGGAAAAATCTGACAGTAAAGTGTAATGCGGTATAAAGAGATGGAACAAGCACTGGCATGTGCTTTAAGGCTGCAGTGTGACCGCAGTGTGGTAGGACCAAGGGAGCTGCACAGAGAGACCCCCGTCTGGGTGGCGAGCCCCTCCTCATGGACCCAGCCAGAAGTCCTCAGGTCCCGCACAGGCCTGGGCAGCCTCTAATCCCATCAGTCCCTGTTTCCTCCCTGCCAGTTTTCCCTTGGCTGGCAGAACATTCTAGGGCTTCCCCTCAGCTGGAGAGCTGGTCCCTGCTTGTCCCCTGACCTTTTCCCGGGGAGCGCTCCCAGGCTTCATCTTTGCACCTCTGCCCTGTGTACTTTCCCTGCACTGGGCCTTCACGTAGTATCTTTGTGCAGAGGGGCCACACCCTCTCCTGGACCACAGGCCTGGGCGTCCCACTACCCACTGGGCATCCCCTGGAGGTCGGATGACCATCTCAAATTAACATGTGCAAAGCCGATGCCACCAGTTCCATGCCACCCCACTAAACCCACGATCTTCCCACGTCAGTGGATGGTAACTCCATCTTCCAGTGACTGAGACCCAATTCTGTAGTTACTCGTGATTCTTCTCTCTCTCACTCCCACATCCAAGCCATTAGAATATTCTGACCATTTCTTGCCCTCCACTCTTAGACACCGTCATCTGCCTGGCCTCCCTGCTCCTGCCCACCTTGCTGCAAGCAGCCTTAGAGATCTCTCTCCAGTGCAACATGGCATGCCGCTGTTCCAGGCATTCCAAGTGCTCCACACTTCACGCTGAGTAAAACCCAACATTCTTAAAATGGCTTTAAGGCCCCACACAATCTGGACCCCTTTTACTCTCTGACTTCTCCTAATTTTCTCTGCAACTCCTTCACCCACCTACCACCACCACCACATGGGCCCCCAACAGTGACTCCACACATGGTGTACTCCAACACCAGGGCCTTTGAACGGGCTGTCCTGAACCTCCTAGACATGCAGGCCAGTTCCCTTGTCTGCTCACAGGTCACCGTCTCCATGAGGCCTCCCTGACATTGACAATTGCACTCCACTCTCCTCCACTTCTCACCCTTCACTACCTTGGCTTTTGTCCCTGACACACCACTCCTAGACACCAGGTAATCTACTTACACCTTTTGTCTATTCTTGTCTCCACTACAGGTGCCTGAAATAGTTGCAGGCATATCAAAGATGCCCAATAATTATTTTTTGAATTGATCTGTAAAGGGATTTAGTATATGATAAAAGCATTTTGATCAACAGGGAAAAGATGATGATGGGAAATCCAGTTGGATCTCCACTTCTTTGATGAAAAGACACATTCCAAAATAAAATGTCCAACCCTCTTTCTTTACCAAATGTCAGCATCTTGAAGTCTGGGCTGGGGTTCTCTCCACAGAAGGCTCTGGCAGTTCTGCTTGGAACTGGGTGGTAGGAAGGCTGCTGCTACTCTGGGAAGAGAGCCTATTACTAAGATAAATAAAAAGCCGTTTATAGAAGCAGAACCTCCCTGATGTAGAAAGAATGTTTTTCTATTTCATTTAGAATTCCTTGCTTCCCCCTCCCCCCACACCCACGTCCCTGCCTGGGTCTGCAAGTCGAAGTCCCAGGGCCACAGCTTCCAAGAAGGCCTCTTAGTCCTTTGTGGGGAGGCCAGGGAGGAGGGAAGGGGGTCTTTCCCTGCCCGAGGTGGGGAGGGCCTGAGGTCCCACCCATATCACATGGAAACTTCCACAAATTCTCCATTTGGGGCCCTTCAGCCAAATGGGAGCACTTTCTATGTAAGATAGAAAACCCACGGGCACCTGGGTAGCTCAGTCAGTTAAGTGTCCAATTCTTGATTTCATCTAGGGTCATGATCTCACAGTTTATGAGATTGAGCTGAGTTGGGCTCTGTGCTCACAGCATAGAGCCTGCTTAGGACTCTCTCTCTCTCTCTCTCTCTCTGCTCCTCCCCTGCTCACATTCTCTCTCTCTCAAAATAAATAAACATTAAAAAAGAAAACCCAGAAACCAGGACACCTGGGTGGCTCAGTCAGTCTTGGTTTCAGCTCAGGGCATGATCTCACAGTTTGTGGGTTTGAGCCCTGCATCGGATTCTGTACTGTCAGTGCAGCCCTGCTTGGGATTCTTTCTCTCCCTCTCTCTCTGCTCCTCCCCTGCTGGCTCCGTCTCTCTCTCAAAAATAAACATTTTTTTTTTTAAAAAGAAACCACAGAAGACAAATAAAATTGACCATACAGAAACTTTAGCCAAAAATCCAGGGCACCTGCATGGCTTAGTTGGTTGTCTGACTCTTGATCTTGGTTTTGGCTCAGATCATGATCTCATGGTTTGTGAGATAGAGCCACATGTCAGGTTCCACACCTAGCATGGGATTCTCTCTCTCCCTCTTTCTCTGCACCCCCCAAATAAATAAAAAAATAAAAATTTAAAAACAAAATAACCAAAAATCTAAATAGAAATGACACTCTGGGGGAAATCATTTGCAACACATGACAAATAACTAAGTTTCTAACTGTAAAAGCTCTTCTACATCAATAGAAGGCCTCCCAACCCAGAGACTGATGGGCCAGTGATACAAACACTGCACACAATTAACAGGAGAAATACAAAGGACTCTGGCAAGACTTTTAAAAAATATTTAACATGGCTATGAGAAACTCAATTTTTTGTCCCATATCGATATGGTTGGAAAAGCCAAAAGGACTGACACGGCCAGATGGGTGAGGGGTGGGACACAGGCACTGTCCCACATACAGAGAGAAGGACAAGTGGTCACATTGTAATATTTAAAATGTATACATCCCTGGGGCGCCTGGGTGGCTCAGTCGGTTAAGCATCTGACTTCAGCTCAGGTTGTGATCTTGTGCTTCGTGAGTTCAAGCCCCACATCAGGCTCTGTGCTGACAGCCTGGAGCCTGCTTCAGATTCTGTGTCTCCCTCTCTCTCTGCCCCTCCCCAACTCGACCTCTGCCTCTCTCTCTCAAAAATAAAATTAAAAAAAAATTTTTTTAAGTAAAATTTAAAAAATAAAATGTATACATCCCCAAAACAGTGTGGTAACAGAATCGCCATATGATCCAGCAATTCCACTTTTAGGTGTATCCCTGAAAGAACTGAAAGCAGGAACCCAGAGGAGTATTTGTCCACCATGCTCCCTGTGGCTCTACACAGCAGCCAAAGATGGAAACGATCCAAGGGTCCATCGACAGATCAGTGGATCAACACAGGGGTCTATCCGGACAGAGGAATATTACCAGGAATGAGGCTCTGACACCTGCTATAGCATGGACAAAACTTGAGAATATTTTGTTAAGTGAACAAAGCCAGACACAAAAAGACAAATACTGTGTGATTACACACAATATTTATAAGAGGTGCCCAGAGTAGACAAATTTATAGAGACAGAATGGAGGTTGCCAGGGGCAGGGAGGGGGCGGTCTGGGGATGGAAGTTAGTGTTTATTGGGGACAGAGTTTCACCCTGGGGAGATGAAAAAGTTCTGTGGACAGGCGGTGGTGATGGTCGCACAACACTGGGAAGGTACTTAATGCCACTGCACTGTATGCTTGAAGATGGTTAAGACAGTAAATTTTCTTATGTAAATTTTCCAAAATTAAAATATTAAATAAAAAAATTTTACATATCCTGTTCTCCATTAACAAATATCCAGTTCTTCAGAGCCATCGTTTTCCATTTCGGGTTGCACGGACCCCGCCGGAACCCACCCACAGACACACTGGTGCCGTGAATACCCAGAATGCCCAGGGAGACTTCCTGCAGCACTGTTTCAAATAGGCGCTCACTGAAAACAGCTCGAAGGCCCCGCGGTAAAGGGACGGTTAAACAGACCAACAAATGAACAAAGAGGAACACACACCCTAACAGTTGATGCTAGGCCCTGTTATCAGGGTTTTACATCAATTCATTCATCAAATTCTCACAACCACCTAACAGAGTTATCCAGTTTACAGATGAGGAAACAAACCCAGGGAGATGCACAGACGACGTCTGGCAGGGCCGGGCTCTGAGCAAAGGAGCCCACCAGCTATGTGCCACTACTGCCTCCTGAAGGGTGTGATGTTCAGACCACAGGAACGTCCAAACAGAAGTCAAGCTCCTCCTGCGAGCCAATCTTGAAAGTCTGTCACGTGGAAAGATCGGTGTGCGTTCTGCTCCCATGTGGGCACAGAGCCGGGGCCGTGGACGTGCGCTTACCGGAGTGCATCTGTGGAGTCAGTCTGTGCGGGGCCAGGCCCGTCAAGCTCCTAATGGTGAAGGTTTTGGAGAAGGGACCAGCTGAACATGTGGCGGGAAACCTACTTTTTGCTCTACATATTGTTTCTATTTGTTTGCATCTTTGATGTATACCAAGAAAAAAAAAATTGTATTCAGCAACACATACAGGTGGATTCAGGTTTGCCTGTTGCAAGACAGGCTTACGTCAACCGGTGCTAGGAGGGAACGGGTGTTCAGGGCCACCTGGAGCTGCACAAGGGGACACCCTCCCTGGTATTTCCCGCACTTTGCTCAGCACCATGCCATTTTACAGCTTATTTAAGGGACTTATGTTCTAGCCTTGAACATTGAGTCTTCTACTGAAAGACAACCTGGTTGCATCCAGATGCCAGACTTACAGGGAAGATGGCCTGAGGACTGGGGTTTCCCGAGCATCCCCGGTGGGAGCAGGGTGTGGGCCATGACCCAACATCCCAATTATCCTCTCATTTATCCCCATGACACACACTTACTTTGAGAGCCTCTCCTTACCGTACCTGATGTTCAAGTCCTGGGAGACTGAAATCAGGCGGTCGGGTGGTGGAGCCTGAAGCATCAGGCTGAGGAGCGCTGAGGTCTTAGCCCAGAGGGCTCTCTTTCCTTCTGCCTTTCCCATCTCCGGGGGTATCCTCTCCAGTCCTAGGACACTCCTGCCCCCGAGGCCTGTTCTGCCAGACCCGGTGCAACAAGGGAAGACTGTTAGAACGGAAAAGAACTTTCTGCAACACGGGGCTCTTGGCAGTACTGCCAGGGCCCAGCCACATGCGGTTCCGGCACCTCCCGCACCGCCCACAGACAGGAACGCCTCCTGGGCTGGGCTCTGGCAGAGGAGCCACCGCCATAGGCCGGCAAAAGGAGCACAAGGAGGCTTAAGAAAAGAGAAACCGCGGCATCCTGCACCCCCTCAGTGTGACAGCGGAGTAAAGTGGCAGAGCCGTCGGAAGGGACTCAGGGAGCTGGGGCAGGTGGCGGGACGGGCGTTTTGAGAGTTCTCCGTCCCTTCCCAGTCCTGGGGGCTGAGGAGCCAAAGCCCTGGGCTCATTTTATCTCCACCAGGGCAGTTTCACGTGCTCTGTGTGGGACAGATGGAAATCTGCGGCCGGAGAGGCTTTTACCTGCATTTCTGCGTTCTGCTTTGCATCACGCATGCGCGCACACGCACACGCACACACACGCCGGTCTTGTTGCTATCACCAGCCCTTCCCAGGCCCGGCTCCCAAGCGTGGGCTGCTCCGGCAGGTCCTCTGCACCCGTGCTCCGACACCAGGGTGCCCGATCCCCACCCGCCATCCTGGCAGGAGGCTCTCAGCTACCAGTGCTGGTCCTGGGAACGTCTAGTTTTACAGGAGTTTCCTTCCGCCCCCGGGCTCGGCTGATGGCCACCTCCTTCTTTTTTCACACCCTCTGGACTGGAACAGAAATGCCTTATTAGCCGATCAATCTCCCAGACAGCACCAAAGGGTGGGAAAAGATCTATAAAACCCCCGCCTATGAATAGCCCGGATCCGCCTCTCCTCCCATTCCACCCTGTAAACCCCCAGGGCCCATCCAGGGAAGGCCCAGGTCATTGTCCTCAGGACAGTGGCCTGGGGCGGGGGCCATGAGTTCATGCCCTCCCCGCTGAGCTTGGCCTCGGGCACCACCCTGGGAGGTCCAGACAGCCCTTTAAACCCACACCTCCCTCAGGCTTCTCTCTACCCCCCCAGCCCCGACCTTGGGCTGAAGGGGCTCCAGAAGTCTAGGGTCCCTTAGGTATGGAGTCTTTACCATAGCTGGGCACCCCGCCCCCACCCCGCACTGAAGCCCCCCCACCTCCCCCTCTGTAGCAGGAGCCGGTTCAGCCCAAGGTGTCCTGAGGAGAGGGCACTCCAATGGACCATCTAACCCCAAAGCAGCTGCACTTTGTCACCTGCCTGTGACAGCTGCAGCAGCCCCTCTCTTACTTCTCAGGAATGGGGTGCGGTGGGCCCTGTCACCCCAAGCAGGCTGGCTAGCAGAGGCCACAGGCCTGGGGTGCCCAGAGATCTGTCAAGCAGGAGGCCCGTTGGGACAGACTACTCACCAGTGTAGGTCTGCCCTGCTGAAGGGGTGGTCAGACCCCCTTCATGCCCCTCCTTCTCCTACCCGGCCGCTCATCTACTGAATGAGCAAGTGGTTGGCCCAGAACATAGAGCTCTAAAAGCACTGGCCCTTGATCACAGCTCACTCAGCTTTTGCTTTCCAGCTGCCCGGTGGGTTTCAGGTGTCTTCGGTGAGGCCCACTGAGGCCGAGGCAGGCACTGTGAGATGGGCCGCCCCACGCAGCTCCCCACGCAGCTCCCCACGGCTCCAACCCAGGCGGAGGCACAGCCTGCACTCACCCTTTGCCAAGTGTCCACACTGAACCAGGCAGGCCAGGGAAGAAAGCCAGAACGCACTGGAAACATCTGTCTGAAGCCTCTCTTTTGGAGCTCTGTTCTTCATTTTATTTTTATTTATTTATTTATTTTTCAACGTTTTATTTATTTTTGGGACAGAGAGAGACAGAGCATGAACGGGGGAGGGGCAGAGAGAGAGGGAGACACAGAATCGGAAACAGGCTCCAGGCTCTGAGCCATCAGCCCAGAGCCTGACGCGGGGCTCGAACTCACGGACCGCGAGATCGTGACCTGGCTGAAGTCGGATGCTTAACCGACTGCGCCACCCAGGCGCCCCATCTGTTCTTCATTTTAAAGGGATGGTGGAAGGTTAGGGATGCAGTTTACTATTTCTGGTGCCTATACTTGGGGTACCGGGTTCTTCTTGCTATTGTGACATGTCTGTACCTCATTTGGGATGGAGACTATTACTTCGATGTTTTGATTTGAAATTCCAATAAAAATAAATGCTTTGAAACCCTGTAATCCTAAAATAGAGGCCAAGAGGGAGAACTGAAACATCTTCCCTTGTATTTCTTCCCTGCCTCCCCACCTCCATTTCCAGTCCTGGTACAGACAGAGCTCCCAGCACTTCGGCCCTGGCTGAGGCCCAAAGCCGGGTGGTGGGAGCCGGACAGGCAGCGGGGGCTCCCACACCTCCTCCTTCTGAAGCTCGGCCCCTCAGCCTAACTGCAGAAGAGGGGGCACAGGACCACCTCAGGCTGGCCAGGGGGTGGCAGCCAGGGCCCAGCCAGGCCAAGCACAGGGTGGAGGACCCAGGGGACACCAGAGGCCTGGCCGCTGCCAAATATGCTGGAAGCCAAGGTGAACCGGGGAGATGGGCTCCTGTCCCCAGCCCGACTTGCTCTTGGAAGACACAGCGTCTGCTCACTGAGGGGTGGTGGCCCCTGGTTCTAGAGAGGTGGACGGTGTTTGGCAGTGCACCAGTCAACTCAGAGAACAAGACTGCTTCTTGGATAATTTCTGGTAGAACACCACCCGTCCTGTGCTTGACCACCTGGCTGGGGTGGTGGCAGGCTCCCGCAGTATCCCCCACATCCCTTGCAAGGGCTCGGCGGGCCTGGGCTCCTCCCAAGAAGGGAGACTGCTTACAGACTCCACTCCTGGTGGGGATCCCCCGACAGCCCCCGTGAAGCGACTGGTTCCTGACAGCCAGTAAAGGCTGAGTGTTTCGGGGTCAGAGTTACCACTTAAGGAAGCCGTAAGGGGCAGGCACCACGGTTGCTAGGTGTTTCTTTGCTTTGCTAGACCAGGGAACCCACGGGGATTTGTGGGACCCTCTGTTGGGGATGTGCGATCTTGCTGGTAAGAGGCTTGTTCCTCTTGGTTTACTTCCCACGCTCATTCTGGGGATGGTTCATCCCGTCACATCTGCTTCACATGGGAATCGTGGCAGGGGTCAGGGGAACCACCAAGGCCAGAAACGGGGTCCGGGGGAGCAGACAGCAGAAACTGTGGCACCGAGAAAGTGTGCCAGACTGCCATGCAGACAGGTTTTGTGTGACTCCTCCACGGTGACTTGAGTGCATCTGACTCAAGTTGCCATTTTCCCAAAGCAGGTCACCTGGGGTCACCTGACCCCACCCTGGCCCAGGCCCATTCTGACAGCAAATGGGATGAAGAGTGAGGCCTGTCAACCCTCAGCCCGTTGGTGAAGAGGCGGGCCGTCCCTGACAAGTGCAGCACTGAGTGCACAGGCCACAGCATGTGGTGCAGTCCCAGGGAGGAAAATCCTGAGACGTGGACCCACATTCATACGCTGCCTGTCACTTAGTAGGACACCTCGGGGATCTGGCCTGTTAAACCCGTCGAGGCGAGATCCACAGTGGGAACCAGGATAGGGCAGGCTCACACCCAGATCCTGGTCTCCACCACAGCCCATCTTCTGTCCCCAGGGCTCCTGGGTCTTCTGCGAATTCTCCGGCCTGGACCGAGGCCACTCTTGGGAAGTGCCACGTGGTCATGTGAAGAAAAGCAGCCCAGGGAGGGCAAGGGTGCTTTCCAACTCAAATCCTACTACACGCCCTAGGTGACCCGCCACGGTTACCAGCGTGAAGCTTTTTTCTGCAAGCAGATGAAACATTTAAAAAAGTAGCATGCCGGCCTTAGAGACCTGCCTCCTGGCTGACGGCGGCCACTCTGCAATCCAGCAGCCCCGCCAGGCTCTGGCCGCGGGCTCCTCCTCCGCACCCTCGCTGCCGTCCTCTTAGGAGATGCTGAGGTGCAAGCTAGGAAAACCTGTTCGAGATTCTGAAGAAACTCGGAAGGGGTGGATCACGGGGTGTGGTCGGAGCACCAACAGGAGGTCTCCGTGCAGGCCCACTCACTCTTCCTCCCTCACCTTCCCTGTGGTCCCTGTGGGGACCACACCCGACACAGGTAAGGATGCCCGCGTCTGCAAGCCGAGAAGGCAAACAACCCACGGGACTCAGCCGAAGCCGTGACCGGGGGCGTCAGTTCAGATGACCCCAGAGGACTTGGGATCACGGGAGCAAGGCAATTAGCTGTCTTGGTGCAAAATCCCGTGCGTGCGGTAGCTCAGCTCTGCCTCAGTGGTTTCTAAGGACAAAGGAGGCTTTCACAAGAAGAGGCTAAGCACTGGGCCGGCTGGTTGCCCACAGCCCACGAGGAGGTAGTGAGTGGCTGTTGTGCACACAGCCAGGTGGGCAAGTGCTGTCGGTGCCTCTGGGTCCCTTCCTGCTCCACCTGAGACAGCCAAACACTCACACAGACCAGAGGGAGACAGTGTCATTTATCCCAACGCTTCCCAGGAAGCAGCATTCTTGCATTTATTCAAATTCACAAATAAAAATCTTTTTTGAGGGAGAGAACATGCAAGCCGGGGGGAGAGGGAGAGAGAGAGAGAGAGAGAGAGAGAGAGAATCTTAAGCAGGCTCCACCCTCAGCGTGAAGCCCAACAAGGGGCTCGATCCTATGGCCCCAGGATCCTGAGCTAAACTCAAGAGCCAGGTGCTCAATTGAGTGAGCCACCCAGAGGGCCCCCAAAATTTGAATCTTGTACCACTATGGCTAACAAAGCACATACAATCATATGCAACGCATGTAACAGAGAAGAGCAAACCCCTAGGAAACCTTCTAGAGTAACAGTCACCGTTAAAAGAATTCTGGAGACCAAGAGCTTTTAATGAAGGAATGTGTTAAAACCACGCTTCCTCCCACAAGCCCGATGCAGAGCCGGGTGAACACAGCCTGGAGCCGCACTTGAGGCTGCTCTCGTCCAGCTCGGGCTCTGGCACAATCTCGGGATGGTACCAACCACTAGGGCTTCCTGCGGTTTCACACCACCCTCCCTCCAGAACAGCGCCTGGAAGCTTGGTTTCCGTGTGCGTGTGTGCACGTGTGCGCCATCAGAGCAGGAGCATACCCTTCACGCTCCCATGGCCACCTGGGAGGGTGACAGACCAACCGGTGGACAGGAGGGACGGTATCAGGTTGCAGAGAATACCCCTGGGGTAACGTCATTTTTCTTTTTAAACAGTATTAAAAAATAATAAAAAGTATGAAATTCAGAAGCACGCAGGAATACAAAAATAGCAATCATGTTTTATTATGAACACATCTTGGATTCTTACCCTGCCCTTTCAGAAATAGCTAAAGAACAAGACCTAGCGATCAAGACAATCCTGTAGGATCTTTCTGAAATGACCCAGAGAAGAATACCAAATGGTGTTCACTGATCCCAGTATACAGAATCTCTGACTTCCTGGAATTTTAAAAAACATCCAGTGCAGCCATATGCTGAGAGGATCCACGCAACAAGTTCAGCAGTTTTTCTGATTTTTTTCTCAGACAGCTTTCATCGTTGGTGTGAAAGAACTGCCTTGACCTCACAGAAGAGATCCAATTCAGATTCCGTGTCTTGGGGTGGCAAGTTCAGGGCGGGGGACAAAGGCACCACGCGGTCCGTGAACTCCAGGGACAGCAGCCTCTGGAAAGAGAAGCACCAAGGCCTGGACGCTGCTGGCTGATGGCTTTAGCAGCCCCAATACCCTTCCTTTGATGTCCAGGGTCAATGCGATCCTGGTCCCACCAGGGCTAGGAGTAGATGCATGAAAAAGAATCTCGCTGTGATCTTTCCTGCAAAGGAAACAGCAATAAAATTTACAGCCTGGTAACAACGGAGAAATTCTTGTAAACCAGTACCGCTGCGTGCCTTCGCTCTCCACTTTGGAGAGAAGACTGAGAGGATGGGAGGAGACCCGCCGCACCTCACGACCCCACAGTGGGGTTCACAGCCGCACTGCTCACACACGGCTGTGAAAGCCAGCGACCGTAACCCGGGCCCCATTCTTTGCACCTGCTTCCGCAGCCTGAACCCAGCGCACAAGGAGGCAGCGTGGCCAGGGTCCCGTGAAGCGCTAACCGCGTTCTGCCTTTAGGAGCGGAAGCCCGTCCCCTCGTCCCCTGCGTGTCAACATATCACTACGATGCCACCAACATCCACACCCCAGGGCCACATACAGACGGGCGCCGCCGCTGCCGGGGGTCCAGGCGCGCGGTCTTCGGTGAGCGCAGTCCCAGCTCCGGAGCCTCCGGGCACTTACACACAGGAAGGCTTTTTGCTCTAGGGCTCGACTCCTGTTCCTGCTGAACTGAGCCAGTGTGTAAAATGAGAACTGATATCAGCTCAGTAGGCACCGGAGGGCGGGTCCAATCGACAGCCCGGAAGCAGTGCCTCAGCTGGGAGCTCCTGCGCCAGCCCGCGGGGCTGCGAACACAAAAGAGAGGTTACCATGCTCGGGAGGAGGGGGAGACCACAACCAGGGGTCTCCTCTGAAAGCAACAGCCCTACTCACATGCAACCAACTGCTGACAGTTTTGTCTGGACTTTTTGCCGGCGCATTTAGCTTTAGTTTGTATGTAAGAAGAATTTTTGCAGCTTTCAATACATTTGACCGTTCAGACAGGTGTCTAATCAGTGGACTGATATTTCCGCAGACTTTCGGTACACTCGTGCATTCACGACAGGAGAAAGTGCATCCTCGGAGCCACGCGGGTGTCGCCTCGTCCGGAGCGGCGCCCGGCGCCTGAGCGGACCACCCGGCGGCGGCCTCTGCCCCAGCAGCTCCAACTTAACTGTCCCCATCTCACCTTCTCTTCAGGTGCAGAACTTAGCCACTGTGAACAAAGCGGAAACCAGTCACTGTTCACCAATCAGCTAAGCTCTGCACCTCGTCAGAGAGGTCGTCGGCTGGGCACATTGGGGGGGGGGGCCGGCGAGCATCTTCCACAGCCGTCGGCTTCTTCCGTTTCTGGAGAAGAGCTACAAGATGAGCGTGTTCTCCGAACTGCAGAGAGAGAGAACTATGGCTTCCGGAGGAGCAGCCAAGGTCGTGGTTGCGTGGTAATCCCTGGCAATGTGATTTTAATCTGAAGTCACAAATCAGCATGCCAGGAACCCAAGCAGCCAGAGCACTCGGAGCAGCGCCGCGCCTGCTCACCGCCCGCACCGCACGCGCTGGCTTCCTCACGCACCAGGCGCCGACACCGCTCCGCCCGCTACCGCGTGGCCTTGACTTCGCCTTGTTGCGCGTTTACCTGGCGTCCCAGAGGCCCAGTGTCTTAAATCGAAAGGGCTCTGTGCAGCCTTGGAGCACAAAATTAAAAAGGCAACGAGCGGCTGCCCCTGCGGGGTTTGCCGTCTGCATCCGCGGGGCCGGCAGGTGCCGTCGTCGCTGAGGGACGGCCGAGGGGCGGGGCACGCACGGGGCCCCCACATTCACCCACAAGGGGCAGGAACGGGAAGAGTTCCCAGGAAGGAGCAGACTCGTGACCACCTCCCCGAAAACTCACGACGAGGAACGGAGAGCCATGGTGCCCACCGTGGTTCTCCACAAGCTGGAACAGGGGAGAGTGGGCCGAAGAGCCCGCCCCACTGTGTTTCAGTCTTCAAGAACCCCAAACTCTCCATGAAACCAAAAATCTAAAGAGAAATATGATCTATACTCTTACTAGAGGGGGCCCACCACAAGGGAACCCGTCCCTCTCAACTGGCCCGGCCCTGAAGGACCCGAAGCCACCAAGGAAAGGGTCTGGGTCCCGCTATACAGGACGCACAGCCATGGTAATCATTTCCACTACTCTGTTTCCTGGGAAATGTGGTTCCTGCACTCTTATGGAAAAAGAGGATCCTACTTAAAAATCCCTTTTCTCCCCTTCATATCACAGTTCTTTCAAATAACTAAGACACTAACACATGTTAGAAATGGTCTTAATATACAGCAAAACATCAGAAGCAAACAAAATCTGACACTGGGTTAAGAATATCAACATAAAATATTAATAACCATTAAGAATTCTACCTGTCGATAAGCTGTAGAACATGAAAAATGCTTGAGATCTGATGTGAAATTAAAAAAAAAGACAGAATTAGACGGGCCCCATTACATCATGTGAAACCGTGAAGAAACACTGAGAAGGTAACAAATGACAATACACCCACAGCCCCACAGCTGTACTTAACAAAGCTGCACATACCCCTGCTACGTGACTTGTGAAATGCAGAAACCCACAGTTAAACACTCCTAGAATGTACATCTAGTAGGTCAATTCCAAGACAATTAACAGGAAGCAGCTTAAATAACTTAGGACTTGCACTGCAGCGTAGACCAGGAGGAGATTCCACTCCAACGTGAGGTGAGAAATAAACCAGGCACAGCGGGGTCGAAGAGCACATGGCACACCTTGGCAGGAGGCCCTCAAGTTGGTCAGACCCCTCATGTTCTCATACAGATGGTGGGCTGGGGATGGACCCAGACGCCTGCACGGAGCTCAGGGTTCGAGGTAACCCAGCAACGTGCTCCCATTTGAGCCCTCACCAGAAGACTGGATCAGTGCTTCCACCGTCCAAACCTATTCCAAATGCTCTCCTGTGTTTTTGTCCCTACAAGTAACAAAACCTAAAGTGGCCAAAGCAGTGCCCAGGGAAGTGATTCCGCCCGGGTGGGCAGCCTCTGCTCCTGGGGCCAACCTGGCCAGCCTGGCGTGAGTTCTGCCTGCACTCCCAGGCCACCAGCCACTGAGGAGTGGAGGACCGTGGCTCAGTGCCTCCTTATTGACTCACGTGGCTCCTACGAGGAATCTCTGGTTAGAACCGAACAGTGGAGAAACGGAAGAGAGAGAATCACCTCTTCAGAATAACATCTCGGCCACCACCTGGGCTGAGGATCTGTCCATCTGCTCCTTGGTCAGCTCGAAACAGCGGCGGGCGACCTGCTGCTGCCGGGAGTCCTCGCTCACCATCAGCTCCCCGTAGAGGTAGATGCCCATGGCCTGTGGGGCACAGAGCACAGAAGGGAAAGAAATGACACGTCCACACGCACACGGTCTGCGCTGCTGGAACACACACTTGCCCGCGTGGAAACTACAAAGACCCTAGAGAAGACGGCCGAGTGGCTGTCCTGAAGCCAACAGTTTTCGATCCCTTCACTTTCTTGTTCACACTGAAGCCCCCTGGAATTCTTAACAATCAATTCCATCAACAGGACTGTGGTGGCAATCTAATCGGTGACAGAATGACGCATGAGCATTTCTCCAGGGATGACTGTGTCGGGATCACCAGGGAGAGTCAGGGAGGTCCCCACAATGCCCACCACGGAAACGTGCGTAGCTGAAAGTGGCCTCCGAGGCGTGGTGTGCGTGTCACAGGTTGCAGGACCTCTCTCAGGGAAGTACGCCCTGAGGTGCGGCTGGAGAATGAAGACCAGCACGTCACATGGCACCACGGCAGGGAAAACGTCACCCCACCCAGGGAAATATGTCCGCTGTGTCAGCCCAGCCCGACAGAGCCCCTCAACCATCCCTGCCGTGGCAGCAAACACCGCCTCTTCAGTTCCCAAAACAATGTTCTCCACACATACTTTAAATTAGAGCCACTGAAGACAGGGACACATACTGTGACAGTTAAGCCACGGCCTGACCCAAGACTTGGGGATGCTGTGAGTCATTTGGAACTGACAATGGTCCACAGACATGCACATCTGCATTTTTCCTACAGTTTTACAAACAGCCAGTTAGGTTCTGGAAGACCAAAAGAACCCTTTGGTTCTGCCTTTTCTCTGATTCCAAGCTTACTTATACCACAGGTTACATTCTGTTGGAGCAAATTAGAGGGCGGATCTCAAAAGATCCTTTTAGCACAAGATAAAAATTTGGTAGTATGGGGCTCAAAAATCCTTTCCTTAAAAAGCTGAGTTATGGTCATCCTTATTTGGCAACGGTCTTGGCTCTAAAAAGGAGTTACTTCTGGTTTTTAGAACAGACCTTAAGTTGCTCTTATATTTTGTCTTTGTTGTCTGTGTTTCCAAACACCTCTGCTCCAACTGTGCAAATGTGACATTTCTCCTAGTACAAAGTCATGTACTTTTCTTTGTGGGAAGAACGAGCCCTTACTTGCCGACTGCCCCCCATAGTCAGGCCCTATCAAAAGTCCCTTTGTTTGCCCCACCCCCACTGAAGCATGGCTCCATTCTCTCAGCCCACAGTACCCGGCGGAAAGCTCGCTCACAATGGTCACGCTAACAGCAACCAGCTGCGGTCTGCCTTCCAGCAGCTGACAGAACCCACAGAACACACATCACCATGCACGGCCGTGCAGGGCAGACGTGGGTGGTGCAGAGGACGCAAGGCAGACACCCCCCAACACGTTCATGCGCATACATGTTTCCTGCAAGCTCCTTGGAAGGTGACTGCCTTCCCCTGGTGAACAGTGAGGTGTGGCAGGGTGTGGCTGGTGCAGGTATAGACCAGACTGTCCTAGCCAGGCCGGCTCTCCCTGACTAGTCTCATGTCCACGCATACTTTAAATTAGAGCCGCTAAAGACACGAACACACACCGTGACAGCTAAGCCACAGCCTGACCTGAGATTTGGGGATGCTGTGAGGTCTGCATGTGTGTCATTTAGTAATGACAGTGGTCCACAGCTGGGTCAAACCACCAAAGCTTTTAAGAGGTGTAATGCATGCCTTAGGGGGACAAAGTGGGGGGAGACGGGGAATCAGCTCCAAAATGTGTTAGGTAAGCTCCTACCTACTTCTTAAAAATCTTTGGAAAATGCTTAAGTATTTGTGATGAAGAAGATGTTAAGAGCTGGGTCCCTGTGTTAGTAAATGCACTGGACAGTCAGGAGACAGCATTAAAAGAATTCCCATCTGCTGAAAAATGAAACTTACCTGATCCTCCTGGAGGAATCTCTCCACATCTTTGTACGCTTTTGTGTATTTATGTTTTATGATGAGTTCACACCACCGATGGCGAACCTTAAGGAAGGAGAGAAAATCCAGTAAGCAACAAGCTGGTGGCTTTCCTTAGCCCATCTTAATGACAGAATTTGTATTAGCAAAAGTTACACTCTCAAGAATATTAATGATACTTCGTTCCAAATCTCATTTTAATTTCTTCTGCAAAGAAAGGAACCATGTCCCTCACTGGAAGGCTGTCAATTTTAGGAGAGCAAAATACACGTTTTAGTTAGGTGTTTTGATGTTTTTAAGTGCAATTCTGCAAGACAAAACAGATAAATGCAAAACATAAGTGGGAAATGAAGTGCACATCCCAGCCAGGTGACTGCTCTGTCCTCCAGCGTGCAGCCAGTGAAGGTTCCCTTTAAAACCGCAACTGCTTAATTTCCTGCAATAACCAATCTGGTTCAATGCTGCTGACTGTTAACAATGAACACGGTAAATTCAGGAAGACACTGCTCTCCACATTCCCGAGAAGATGCACAGCTCACCTCTGCAGCATTTGGGGAGGGCGCCCGGGGACAGGAAGGAGAACAGGGCACTGTGCCGCAGGTCTGTGCAGCCTGCCGCCAATGAACAAGCTAAATGTGGGCGTCGTTCAGTCCAGATCCACTTGACTAAAGGTTTACCAGAACGCACTTGCCAGGAGCTCCAGCCCCTACAGACAATATGGGGGTCTAGTCCCAACACTAGCTAGCTCTGCTGATGCAGGCAGAGCCCCAGCCAGCTCTTGGCACTTCTGGCACATTCTTTAGCTGGAGTCTACCCGAATTTGGTTTTCAGAATCTAGTTGCAGGCCAATGCCTCAAAGCCCTCTCAATTATCCCCAGTGAGGAGTTCACCACTTTCTTTTCCATTCCTGGCTCAACATCAGCCATACATGGAAGTGATTACAAGCACCTAACTTCCTTCCTTCCCTCTGTTTTTCGTTGTCTTTGAAAAAAGGAGACCCTGCATAGTAATCCATTTGTGGCAATGGGATAATGTAAGCAATTTCAACATTCTGACTGGGGCCCCTGTAAATTATATCATTACCCACTGCTGGCCGGATCTCTCCTTTAATCTACTATAAATAGATTTGTACACAAACAAGTAAGTATGAAGAAACAAATCTTCTGGGAAGAATCCTTCCCCTGGGCTACAATCCTCTCCAAGACTGGGTGTTAACTCCGGGGATCTGGTGGTGCTGCTTTTTGCTTGTGGGCAGCCGAGCCCTTTGAACTTCTAAGGACAGGATGCCAATGAATTTACATCTACGAAGGAATTTCAGAGGCGAATGGAAATGAGCTAATAGCCTCAGAGCATCACAAGAAATGGGAAGAGGTTGGACTGCACTGGTCTTGGCAATCTTTCCATCTTCCACAGAATGTTCTTTCCTATACAGCCAATAGAAATGAACAGACCATGAAGGGCAGTCCCTAAAACGGTCTCACAAAAAAGACAACTGAACAGAGCTCCAAGCCAGCTCGTCCCATTACGCTAATCAGAAGCCACCAGAACCACCAGACCCCTGCTCCTACACTCTGGTTCGAGTACCACAGGCTGAGCCCTGGAGAGCACCTGACCAGCACACTTAGACGCCACCCCCGCCCCCGGGCCCCCGCCCCGTTTTCTCCCTATCACGGTAACCTAAACACCTCAGATACCGCTGGCCATATCTTGAGAGCTTGGTGAAAGTGGGGGCCAGCTCCCCAAGGTCAGAAGGACCGGCAAGTCGGTGTGGCCTGGTGGGATGCCCCCTGGGGAAGAGCAATCCCCTCTCACACCTGCACACTGGAAGGCTTGCACCAGCTTTTGGTGGGGTGATGGAGAGCTCCGTCGGCTTTCCAAGTGCTCTGACCTGACCGCCTAGGTGTGTGTGACGTGCCCACACTGTACCTCTCTGCACTCTAACACCTGGGGAGGCTATATTTTTTAGACCTGATTTTGAAATGGAGGGTTCAGCCTCTCATTTCCTCTTCCCGTGCTCTCCTCTCCCAATCTACACAGACAGAGATAACAAGGCCTAAACAAGGGCCTATTTCCTGGTAAAGACAGACCCCCCAGGCTGGCGGAAGGTGGGGTGGTCCCACCACACCGGGTGAAGGTCCAGGAGCCCCAAGTGAAGGCTCCTTCACACCAACATGAAGTCAGTATTGCCACTTCTCTTACTGTTAAAAAGGGTTTATTGTCACGATTAGTAAGAGATCTAGTCTTCTGACCCCTGAGGGCCAACATGGCATCCAGGAAGCACAGCCCAGGCTCCCCTCCCCTCCCCTCTAAGAGCAGAAAAAACAACAAGCCTTTTCTTTACAAAAGAACTCAGTGCATCTCAGTATTTCAGTGACAGGATGTTTAAAAGACATCACAGACATGCTGTGTGAGGCTAAGGGCCTGACACATTTCTTGCTTGCGCACAGGGTTTTTACCTCTCTTCGTATTTCGCTGACAAAGAAAACTCTCACTTTTTATCCCCTAAACTTGAGGACCCAATTCGCATGGCCACTTGCCACCACACGTAATGGGGGTCTTGCTGAAAAGCTGGCAGCAAAGTCACACCTATCTTAATTTTTCCTAGCAATTATTTCCATAGTGGGCACTGCCAGAATAGTCCTTCTCCAGATCACTGAGAAACTTGAACAGTCCTTGACAGAGGCTGTCACATACTCGTACTAAGTTCCTGCCCCCTCTGGAAATGGGGAAAGTGAGGTTCTCCATGCTGTGGAGCCAGAGCCAGAGAATTTCAAACAGGTCTCTGAGGAGAGAGCTGTCCATCCTGTACGTTTGCTCTTATTTCTAATTAATTAATTAGTTAATGGGGGTAGTGGTCACTTGGGACTTTTAACTTCCTCCATGAGATGAAAAATAAACATCGTGCATGTACATGACAGTGCGGGCCCAGCAGCCCTCCCACAGCACCTGTGGCTTCTCGACTCTGCTCATTTAGTTCCAATGTTGCACGTGCACACACACGCCAACACTGACCAAATTACACTTCAAAGAGTCACGTTTTATTACACCGCAGTTATGCTGATAGAGATGAAAACTTTTAATGACCTTTTGAACTAGACTCAAATTCACATCACTCCCAGTCCTGCCCCATAGGAATCACCCGAAAACCCGGAGTCAGCCAACAGGTTAGCCCCGAACACCATCAATGTGATCAGGCTGGATGGAGAAGTAGGGGGTGAGGACCACGTGGGGAGGGAAGGAAAGGCCAAGAACCTGAAGAGAATGAGAAAAGGGACAGAGCTGCCCACGGCAGCAAAGAGGGGAGTCCCAGGGACCTTGAGTGCCCGTGCCCTCTCTCTGGCTGCCTGGGACCGAGTGTGTGTGGGAGGGTACCGGAGGCCTTGTTTCCAAGGACGTGTCCATCTCCCCACCGTTGCGTTTTCAGGATGGGTCCTGGCCCACCTCCCCTAGCAGTGCCGGGACAAGCAGGCACACCCCACAATGGCCACGCAGGGGGTTCCCAGCACACACACGGAGCACTTAGCAGAGCATGTGGCACGGGACTGATGAAGGATATGGAAAAAGAGAACTTAGGTTCCTGGTTCTTCCTGAAATGTCGCAATGAAGTTGTGGTAGACAGACCTGCATATACGGTTGTGTGCCCACAAATACTTTGGTCCGATAAAAATTAGTCTGAAAATCTGCTTTCTAGAGTTCTGCTCAAAGGACACTCTGAACAGAAAAATGATGTGGATGTTTCAGTGCACAGGTGGGTTTTAAAACACATGCTAATCTGCACCAATGGAAATGGATTCCAGAAGTTTCCAGGTTTCCAAAGCCCCCACGAACAATGAGTGCACAGACATCATTGTTCTCCCCAGAGTGCCAAACAACGTGACTGGTCCTTTGGGGTTGGGTCCAGATGGGCAGGTCTTAGAATCGGGAGTTGGGGGGGCGGACAATGAAGGGTAGGTGTGCAGAAGCAGATTCATCAGACCCACTTTTGGTGACAGAGAATGAAAACCCTCCAATAATCCACATAACTGCTCCAGGATGGTGGATCCCTGAACCTCAGCAGGGACTTCTCCAAGAGGATGGGCTGTGTCTGTGACAACAGGCCTGAGCCTTGGGGGACGTGGTAGACATGTGGCCTAGGTGTCCAAACAGTCCCCTGCATGTGATGTGTATACATGTGGATATACATGCACATAGACAGAAACATGGTTCTTTGCTTAATCCTTTCCCCTACTCAGGTATTTTGTTCTTCTTTATGCTAGTTGGTACTCAATTGATTTCATGACCCACTGGGCCCTGAGTCACAGAGCCTAAGGCCCCAGGCTGGAGACCCAGGTAAGCCACTCAGCAGCTCCGTCAGCTTGGCCCTGCTCCCGGGGTGGGGGGTGGGGGGTGGGGGGTGGGGGTGGGTGGGTTGTAAGTGTGCGTCTCCTCTGGGCTATTGTGAAAATGAGGTCACCCACTGTGAGTAGCGAAGAGTCCCATATACTGTCACTTTAGCTGGAGTGCCAGTTTCTGGCTTTTACTACTTCAGAAGTTCTGTTACTTATTGAAATTATGAAATCTTGGGAGTATCATCTCCAAGGAAGTGTTTGTTAACTGGTGAAATGACAGAGCAAGGCGCCTGTGCTGAAGATAGAGAGGGCAGCCTGGATGGTGTGTGAGGGAAGGCAGGTGTGTGAGAGGGCTGGGCTCTCTCGGGTGGGCTGGGGAGGGGATTCAGGAGTCTGAGATTCCCCCTGGGAGAAGCAGCTGGGGCACCACCAGGGAGCGGCCGAGAGGCCCAGGGAAGCTGGCTCTTCAGTCCTGCCGGAAGTACACCCAAGGACCAGGCACCTGGGAGTTTCCCAAACCACCTGTGAAAACAAAACCCTTAGCTGTGCCCCAGCCCCCTGGCATTTCTGCCATTTCAAGAAAGTTATTATTACCCAAAGGGCTTGGCCAAGCTGAACTGCTTCTGCCCTGCTCCCCTGATTTCCAGCAGTGCCCAAAAATTGGCACCTGCCTCACAGGGTCATTTGTATTCCCAATCCATGTCTCAGACTCAAGGGGACAAGTCCCATGACCCAGTG